ACTACTTTCTTTAACTATTTTTACCTCGAGCTCTTTAATTGATAAATAAACAAGCTCTAATTAAATTAGAAAAAAAAGAAAACTGTTTTAGAGCTTCATCTAGAGATGATCTATGAATCCTTAATAAAGACAAGTCAATGAAGATAATAGGTTAAAGTCTTTCATTGAACCAAAAGCTTAAATTCTATTGAGACTGACCTAATTACCAATTCAATTCCGATGGCAATTGATGATGAGAAGATAATATCAATAATATCAAAATTTGAGCAAAGTTTCAATGAATTGAATCCATCCAAGTTTAAATAATACAAGTTATCGATTTTTTGATTCGTTTAAAGTTTTTATCACTTTTTAAATACTTTAATTTTCCACAACTTTTAAAAGTATAAAACATATAAAAAAAAATACTCGTGACACTTGCCCTAAGGAGCAACACTTGAAGAAACCAACAATAATAATTCAATGACTCGCCGAAACGTATGTTTAACCGTGCTAATAAGCGTTTCAGGTTATCGCCTAAACTCTTGGATAGGGAGTGGAGCCTACTAATCACCGATTCAACTCTAACGGTACCCAGACAATCGTCATAATTTACGATTCTGGCTCATCGTGGAAACTCCTCTTTCCTCTCCCGCTTCCCCTTTCGATCATCATCGCGCAAAGGCCTTCTCTAATAACGGAAGACCGTTGTATCATGGCCTCTTGCATCGAATCCATCCATCTCTCGCTTTCCAAGAAATTTTCAATGAACTCGATCGATTATACTGGCGGCGTCCGCCAAAAAACACATTTCCGTTCTATCTCGAAAAATTATGTAACACGTTTAGTTTGCATAACAACCAGCGAGCTTGTTGGCATCTGTCGATGAAATTGCCGATTAAACAGGGTCAATGTGTTCCAACGAGCAACATAACATAACGCTGGAACGAAGAAAAGTATATATTGTATTCCAATATATGAGATAGACCAAACAGTTTTTCGATCAGATTGAGAAATTAGACTTTATCCGAGAGAAAATTATTATTCTGTAAATTGTTTAATTAGAAAAAGAGATTTAAAAGAAGTGTACATATTCTGAATCATCTCCACACGACAAAGGTTCAGGATAAAGACAATAAGAAGACTTTAGTAAGAGGATTAGGAGATTGAACAACAAACAATCCTCTAAAGCGTAAAACCAATGGAGACGATGTCGATTATGAAATCTTTAACAGAGTTTGCGAGCTTTCTAATAATACTGAGCGACCGATTGATCAAAACAGAAAAACTGTATTTATTAGAGAAGAATATATATATATATATATATTGTTATAATTTATTAAAGAAATTAAGAATTGTCGAAAGGAATTCAAAATGGCATGAAACTTGAAATAGAAGCGTTTTGAAAATTTTCGACCAAGCCTTCATCATGAACTTCATTTCGGCGAACTAAAATAACCTATCGTTGAAATTTAATAACGATTTAGACAATATCAAGGATTTCTATTACGTAAAATACACAGTTTACTCGAAGTTTCTAATTTTGGAAATAGTTTGGTAATTCAAGTGCTGTAACATCTACTACATAACTTATAATGTCTACTACATAACTTATAACTTAGAATGTCAAAGATAGTAGTTTTGAATTTCTTGCTGATCCAAAATATTATATGATTCATTTTAATTAAAACTTAAATCAAATAAAAAAAATAAAATTTTATCTATGAAAACGCATAATTTATCGTTAAGTATCAATTTCATAACTATTTTCCACCTCTAATATTAATGTAAACCGCGAATCTATCTTGATCCGTCATTCATAACCAAGATCAGAGCTCGAAAATTCGATACCGAAACGGCGTTCCCATTAAGCGATATTCTTACCGAGCTAGTCATAATGTCGCCAATACAACAACGATCGTGGAATAAAGACAGCCAACAGAAAGTGACAAACAGCTTGAATGCAGAACGAGAGAATGAATAAGTGCGATGTTCCTCCTCCTCATATCTCTCTAACCAGCAGTCTCACTCGTCAGAACTTCCTAGCCATCCAAGTAAACAAACTCGTTCGAGGAATTAAGTATTGCGCGCGCTAGAACTATCGAAGAAGCCAGAAAGGAAGAACCGTTTGGGTGTCGTTTTTTCGTGTCCATGTCTCAATTCGCGAGATGATACGACGTATCGATACGAAAATAGAGACATTAACTTGGATCACGCGTTCGCGAACGTTACACAATCTGAGTTCAGGAACTGGTCATCTAGAGAATTAGTTCTTACAGTGAAGAGAAGAGGAAGAAAAAAAGAGATGAATGTGACATCGGTGACAACCACTGGTCTCGGTTGTCCTTGCACTTCCTAACAATCGTGCGTTGATCAAGCGGTCGGTTACCAAGTGTATTTCGCTGTCACTGCATTGTTTCGATCGAATTCTCCTGACTACTATACGTACATAATATATCCGCGTCTCTCAGTCCCATTCGCCGCCCATCCTTCCTCCTCTTTTCGTGCTCTATCGCCGTGACGCACACGAAACCACAGCTCTACATCTTCGCACTTCGATCCTGACCGCGTTACAAGGCCGCTCTCTGTCTTCTTCTAATCACTTTCACGAACTCTCGCGCCTCTATACGCGCTCGTGGCTGCTCGGTCGGTAAAATTGATCCCCTACGTCACAGCGCGCACCACCGCTTTGGCACCGACCGATTACGTGTATAGTATTCCCCGAAAAAGCGAAGTTTCCGTATATACACGCTCATAGACGCATACCTGCATTGAGAGGCACGTATACGTGCATACATACATAAAGGAGACGCGCGTCGAACTACCTCTGTGACAACGACCTTGATCTCGAATTCAGGCTCTCTTGTTCTCTCTTTCTCTCATTTCCATTTTCTTTCGCTTTTCCCGTTCCCTTGAGAGTAATAAGAAATAAGTGGACAGTGCAGATTCGAGTAATTTCCTTTCGATATAATAATAAAGTAATTAAACGGAAAACCTACACACATACATATACACAGCGAGACGACACTTGGTCGCACCACTCACGCACACGCATTCGTACTTCTGGCAGAGTAGTGAATCGTCCCTTCTCCTACGAACGAATATCCCTCTTTTCGTCCCGTTTCGTTACACACTCGATGTTCCTTCATTTCTTTCTATCTCTCTCTCACTCTCTATCTCTCTCACTCTATTTCTTGCTTCGTTACCGTCTCCCCTTCGTTGCACTCACTCACGGTATACACACCGTAAACGTAGAGATCAAGCGAAAAGGAACGAATAAACGAACGAACAGACAAGCCGTGTAAAGAGAAGTTTAGCGGCGTCCGAGCAATGTTTTATCTTCGACTATAACAAATGACGATTGTTGTCGCGTATATCGGGTTGCGCGAGATGCCATGGGGTATCGTTGACCCCTCAACGACACCGGACAGATACAGTTGTAATACGCGTAAAGAGAAACAAGTTTGTGTTGTATAGAGAAAGAAAGAGGAAGGAAGAAGAAGTGTAGTATGAAGAGAAAAGGATCCACTCGCCTGAACAGTGTTGCGTTTGAGGAGCCGTGGTAGCAACTGCCCGCAGTAATAGTCGTCAGCTGATTTCGACTGGCTGGCTGGCTGGCTGGGCAGTCAAGCCGTTGCTGAGGGGCGAGAGCCGAGGTACGGGCCAATGGTGGGGCGGCTTTAGCAGTGGGGAGGGCTTTTAAAGCGATATCAGGACCGTAGAATCGTGCGGAATCTCTGGTGCCTCTTCTGCATCGATCCCACTCTCAACTATCTTGCAAATCTGTTATCTGAGAAATCCAGACTTGAAAAATTCTATAATCTGATGTTTGATAAAAAGTTATTGTCATTTTTATCATTTATATAAAGTTTATAAACAATTATTATTATTTACAGATAATCGTTTGTATGCTTGGTCAATTTTCTTCTTTGTAGATTAATTTATCACACTAAATTAAGAGCAATAATTTTTAATAGATATAAATGAGTTAATCAGGAAAAAAATATTAATACAAGAAACTAAGAAATCACTTCAAATGCAGGAAGTGGAAAATCAATGAAGAGCTCCGTGACTGGTGTTAGTAGTTCAAAGCATTCGTATAAAATACATAGTATAGTGATAATTTAGATTTAATTGTTATTATATTTATATTACACAAAATATAGACATTGTTATGTCCCTAATAGAGAAATATGCTTATGCAATAATAAATATCAAAAAACATTGTCATAAGACTCAATCACAGAAATATAAGTAAATACTGTTAATGTTTTTAAATTACGGGAATCGAAAAACAACGCAAAACGTATTTTAAGTAATTTTTATTTTTACGCTGACCTTCATTTTGGTCACTTCAGAATTCACACCCGGACGCGTGCGAATAGCTTTTGCAACGTCAATTGACGTAACAACTATGTTTCGTAATTTAATATGTAGCACGTATTTTTATAAACGCGTTTATAAGAAGAGTTCTCTTCGTTGAGATTGAAAATTTGACGAGGGGCCTTATAACTCATTGATTCGGCGGTGAGGAGAAATCATCGGTGGGGGAACGCTCAGCTGGGCGAACAGCTGCTGGTCGTTGTAAACGTTGGGATGCTTGGAAAACTTCCTTTTTACCCACTGCCTACAAAATTTCCATTTCTTCACAAAAATTCCTACCCACCCTCCGTTTCGTGGTATCGAAAATCTCCAGCACAACAGACAAAGAATTTCTACCTGAAAATCTATCCGTTTTCCATCCCTCGTCATTATGTTCCACCGGAACAAAGTAGTTTCGCTTAGCCCGTAGCGACATCGCACTGCCTATAGTGGCAAGATGGCATCATATGTAGCAGTGTTTCTCAAAATGAAGTGAGGTTAACCAACCTGGTAGAAGAAAAAATCAATGGTTGAAACGTCATTTTGAATAGATGAATTCTTGCATTTTGCTTTTTTAAATTGTAATAAATTTAAAAAAAATTCGCTTACATATTTATATAGATTATCTTAATTAAAACATTTATTTAAAATATAAATATAATAATATAATTGTATCAAAGTTGGGCGTTTATTTAAAATAGAAATGACAGCTAAAAAAGATAAATAATAATTAAAATAACAATAAAAATTTTATAAGAATATAAAAAATATATCTAAATCTAAACGTTAATATAAACAATCAAATTAAACATTGTAAATAATAGATATTTTCAAAAGTATTTAAAAAATTATATGGAATTAATATTTGTTAATAACAAATTTATTAACAATCAAATAATCAAACAAAATTTATCATTAAATGAATTATTCAAATAATTTCATTTAAAAAAAAAATAATCGAAGAAATAAAATATTTTATTTACATAATATTTATAACATTTATAATATTTTGAGGTAATTAAATGCACTTTGTAACATTTATTTATTGGATGATCAGTATTTGTAAATGCTCAAATATAATCTTATCATTATTTACAAACGAGATTAAAAAGAGGTTATAGTAAAATGCGCGCATCACTTACTGATACATGCTGATACATGGATAAACGTATAATGAAATAGACAAAAAATTAACGAAAATATATTCGAAGATTCGAATAATAAAAATGAATATTATAGAATGGATGAGATTAGAATGCCACTGTTGAACAGTAGCATAGTGGCGGTCCAACTAGCATTGGGACGCCTGCGCGAGTCAATCCTGTCAATACTATTTGGGGGATCCCTCCATTTCCCTGTTGGATTGATACGAGTCAATGCACGACAGTAACCAAGCGTACATGAGAAACTTTTTGTTTTCTACGACCCAGTATTGCATACTCCACTTTTGGCATTGATTTCCGGGAATCTTTATACTTCTCGAAAAATAAGTCAATACCGAAATCTAGTGATCGAGTGACTTATTTTTTAATTCTCAAAAAATTTTGATCGTTAATTTGATTTTTGGAATTTGAAATATATTTTTATTATTTACTTAAATATAACTTAATTTTTATTTAAATATAATTTAATTTCAAAATTTGAAATAAATTATCAATAATTTGATTTCAATAATTCTCAATAATTTGAGAAATGATAATAAAAATTATTAGTAATTTAATTGGAAAAATTTTATGCAATCAAAAAATAAATCAAAAATTACTAATTAAATAATTTATTTTTTATTTTAAAAATATAAATTTTAAATAATTTGATTTTCAAAATGTATTTTTAATTAATGTGTTTGTAATTTGAATATAAGGATATCTTGAAAGAAAAGAAAATGGATTTTTAATGTGGTGTTATAAGATATAATATATATATATATATATATATATATAAAGAGAGATAATTAAGAAGCAGGGAAGCACGAAAATAAAATTACGATAAAAATATAATAGGGGAACTTATTTGAATTCCATGGAAAAATTACTAACAGTCAAACATTTATACATAAAATTTAATAAATATAAAGTATTTTTTATAAAGTAAAAAAAAATTTGAAATCAAATTATGAAGCTTATGAAACTTTCGTTGGCAATAAAAATAATGGAAATCATTAAAAATATTCCAAATCTTAAATTACATGTAGAAATTATTTCATGTAAATAAATTATTTATATTTGTACATGTTTATATATAAATAGGATATTTATCAATATTAAATATGAAACATGAGAATTGAATTTTCCTTTGCCATGTTCTTTATAGTATGACTAATGCAAAGAATTTGGCACCAAGTTATATACATAAATTACTATTTAATATTTGCTACGAATTTGCATAATGTTAAAATAATCTCACTATAGAAAGATATAAAAACATAAGCAAAATCATACCAGAATCAATTTATATAATATGATAATAAATATATAAAGGATATTCATAAAACATTTAAAAGATTGATATTAAAGATTAAAACAAAAATTAATAAAATATATAATATAAAAATGTTGGTTGGAATTAATTTATTAAATTATAAATAATTTAAATTTGTATTAGATAAAGAAAGATAGACAGAACAAACCTGTGATGTAAATAAAACCGTAATAGTAGTGTGATGAAGATAGAATCTCACTCTCGTTTTTGTTTTAAATAAATTTATTATTCTGAACAATTAATCATTATAATTATTATTTAATCTTTTTGTTTTCAATTTGTACGAAGTTATTATATTCGAATTGAATTTTTACATGAAAAGTTTCGAGTAATATAAATTATAATTTTATAATAACAAATTTAATTTCAAGCCTTATATTTTTTCATTAAAGGTTTATTTATATATCGTGTAAAATAAATTCTACAAACCTGTTATGAGTATATCCGCTTTACTTATAATTAATTTTTTCTATTATTTCGTTCGAATTTTTAATTATTATTTATCATAATTATATTAATTATCATATAACAAACTTATTTATTAAAAAGGAGTAAAAAAATTAATTATTTATAAGTATAAAAAATAATAATTAGTTGATAATAAATATATCAATAAAAAATAAGATCAAAATAAAATATAATAAAAATAAAAAATAAATAAGATATCTATTATAAATATTATTTTTCATTTTGAAGAACTGTTAATTTTTTTATAAAATTATTTACTTTTTCTTTATCTACCTTATTTTCCCATGTTCCATTAATTTTAAAATGTGATCCAACAATTACTGCATTAGAGGACAAATAATTTTTTATATTTTGTTTTGTAATACCAGAACCAATAAGAACAGGTATATCAACATTTTGTTTAATTTCTGTATGTACAATGTAAATTTTTTTTGTCAAAAATATATAAAAATTATAATTTTATCAATATAAAAAATACCTGTAAGTTCTGTTACATTTGCTGGATAACCTGTAGCATTTCCTGTCAAGATTATACCATCAGCCAAGAAAAATTTTGCTGCTTTTGCTGTTTCTAATAAACTTACATCAGAAGTGATTGTATGTGAACTGTAGAATTAAAATATTTTGATTATATTGATGATTTTTTATGTTAAGCTAATAATAAATGTCATTCAATAAATTTATTTCTTGAAATATTGAACAAATCACCTATGTTTTTTTTTAATATCAGCAAAAATAAGAATATCATCAGCATCAATTTGTTTTCTATATCTCAATAAAGAACCAGCACATGCATCTGTAAATCCCTCATCTGCAATATGAGAAAAGACAAATCCTTCCGCTCTGATAAATTGAAAATTAGTTGCTTTTGCTACAGCTATTGCTTCTTTATTACATCCTGCTAAAATCTATTTTTTGTTGTTTTTTTCTTAGTAAATTGTAAATATCAAATTCTCATGCATTACGTAATTTAATAAATTTTTTAATTTATACCTGTATACCACAAGGTATATTTTCAGGTAATATTTGCTTAATTTCTGTGCAGATTCTAGTCATCATTGCTGTCGTTTCAGGTGTTAAATGTTCAGATCTCACATATGGATTATCATGCATATTTTCCACTAAAATACCATCCTTTAAATTTAAATATTAAATTTATAAGTTTTATAAAATTAATAAAATATGAATTTTTAAATAAGCTTACAATATTACAATCTCTATAGATTATTGTTTCCTTTATTGCATTACTTATAATTTGATTAATATTACCATTATATGCAGGAGTGCCTAAAAATATTATTTTAATATCACTATTTTATAAAATGAAAAAATAATTATTAAATAAATTATTAAATAAAATTAATAATAATTTATTATTAAAAAGATATTTTTTGAATCATAAATGTATTATTGGTCATTAAAAAAAATATAGTTAATCAAAATAAATATTATTTGTTATAATATTTTGTTTTTTATATTAAAAATAGCATAAATCATTATATTGACACTTTAAAAGCAATAATGATAGAATTACTATGTCAATTTTATTTATTACTGTTTATTGCATTCAATTTTTAGAATATTAATTTTACATTGAAATATATAATATTAAATTATATATATATTATATATAATATATATTATGATTTAATAATAATGTATTTTATATATATATATATAAATGCACTATACATTTTTTCCATTTTTATATTTTAAATATATATTTTTAAATCTGATTTATACCAGGCAAAGCACCAACGTGTACCATTCCAATCACAGAGCATTTTCCTTTCTTAAAAAATTTATAAAATTTTGACATATTTATATAATAAATTATTTTATTTTAAAGTCACTTTAAGAAATTATAATGTAAAATAAGGATTTATAATCTATATTGTAACTATATATTGTAACTATAAATCAATAATAATTATATTTCTTATTAAAAGAATGGAATCGTCGTAAAGAATAGAATCTATTTCTCTTTCTCTCTCTCTCTCTTTACAAAGTTTTAGATAAAACAAATATAGATAAGAGAAAATTGTAAGAGAAGGATAGAGATAGAGTAAAAATTATAGAATCAGCGCCATCTTCAGTGTGCCGCAAATAAAACTTAAAAAGAAAGGATAGAAAATAATAGGAAAAGGATAGAAAGCGAATGAAAATTGACTAACAGTGCCATCTCTTAAATATTAAAAATATCTCTTTATTAATTCTTACTCTATCTTTAAAAAAGTGTCTATGATACTTAAGAGATGGCGTAATCAATCAATTCTTATTTGCTTTCTATCTTTCTTTTATTATCTTCTATCCTTTCTTCTTGAGTTTCATTTGCGGCACACTGAAGATGGCGCTGATTCCATAATTTTTATTCTATCTCTATCCTTCTCTGATTATTTTCTCTCTTTATATACATTTATTTTATTTAGCAATCAAGAGATGGCGCTGTTCTTTTTAGCAGTACTGTAAACGATAAAATACGAAGTCTCTTAAATGTAAATATTAAATCTATGTATGTGGTGATGTACAAAATGTTATAATTGTAATATTTAAACAATAAGAATAAGAAATTGTGTATTAATTAAAACTTTTTTTACTTAATTTTAATAATTCTATTTAAATTTATAAATTAACATGAATTCAGTAATAAATTCTTGTAAATTAATAAGCATAAGAATGAATAAGTTTGGAGGTTATTTAAACCGAGGAATGGCAACTATTGATGATTATAAAATTAAATGGGTACGGCCAGTTAAAATTCCATCTACAGATCCTCGGAAAAGTGGTGATTTAGGATTAAATATATCTATAAAACCAACTGATATTAAACTTTATTATGAAAATTCAAAAGAATTGGAAGAGTAAGTAATAAATATAAATTATCGCGTATTAATAATATTGTTATACAATACAACAACTTACTGAAAATTAAAAAGTAATTTTGAAATATTTTATATGAAATAAATCTTTAAAGAATTTTAAATAATTAATTATATTTAATTATATATAATTAATCATATGCAGTGTAAATGATCTTGTAAAGAAATTATTTACTTTGGAATTTCAACCACGTAAAGAAACCAGAAATTTATCAAGAGAGAAAACAATAGAACTTGTAAAAAGACATATTTGTGATCGAGGTTCTCCAGAAGTCAAAAGTAAATATAATTTGATTATATGCATTTTAATTTTATAAAAAAAAAAAATAAAAAACTTGATAAAATTTGATATAACTATTGTAAATATTTTATTATATAAAAAATTATAACATTTTTTTCTTTTAATAAATTTAATATATATTTAGTAGTATTAGATTTATATTTAGTAATATATTTTTATTATATAATAATTATATAATTTAAATAAATTGTTTTAGTTGCTGCAATGACTGCTGAAATCCAATATCTTCAAAAATATATGGAAGACCATCCAAGAAATAAAAAGATAAAAGTATTTCTAAAAGAATTAATTGATAAAAGAAACAGACATCTTAAGTTGATGCGAAAATGGGATTATAAACGTTTTGAATGGCTTCTTGAACGTTTAAATCTCACATATAGTGCCCCACCAGAGTATGTTTTTTTTCTATCTTTATTATATGAAATCTTTTTTTTCTAGACTATTTCTAAACTATATAACAATCTTTTAGTTAAAGTTCATTGTATTTATATATATATTTTTTTATAAATCTTTAAAAATATTAATGCAATATATAAGAAAAAAAATATGACTTAATAATAATTATGTTTGTAAACATATGTTATAATACTTTTAAAATTAATAAAATTTAAAAAATTATATTTTTATATTTTATATTTTGTATATAATAATATTATATGTATAATTTAGTTTTTAATTGATTATAGAATTCCTGGTAAAGTGTCAAGAAAAAACGCATTAAGAAAGCTGACACAAAATTATTGTGATGCTATTATTCAAGAAAAATTGGATGCATTTAAAAAAGAATTAAAAGAACAACAAAAAATATTTTATGCTGAGAAGGCTAAAAAAACTGGAACGTATTTTAAAAGATGAAAAAGAATATGGTTTAAACTGTACTGTAACACAAGAAGATATTGAAGCTGCATTAAAAAAAGTAGAAGAATTATCAAAAGAAAATATATAATATATAATATAATATAATATAAAATATATAATAAATAAATTTTTTTCTATATTCTTTCATTGTTTTTTTAATTTATTCTCTTAAATCTTATCACCTTTTTATAGCAAATTATAATATAATATGTTGTACTATATATTAATATATTATTAATATAAATTTAGAACTCAAAATAGAAAGATTATATTTTTTAATCAAACTAAATGCTATAATAAATAATATAAATTATTATATTTATATTTTCTCTTTAAATTTTATTACATATTTGTGTAAAATTAATAAGAATTTTAAAATAATAGTATAAAAAATATATTAATTTGAAGTCTGTGATTAATGAATATTATGGTCTAATTTTCTCATCTGATATTATGATAATTAGCATTGTATTTTCTAGCAATTTTGAAATGTAAATTAGGAAATATTAAATCGCGAAATTAATGGTATACCAACAAAACAAAATAAAGCAAGTATGTATTGCGAAAAGACAATTAGATTCATAAATTTATCTTTATTAAATATTTTTTTTAATAAGGGGCAAAAGAATATAATGATAATATGTAATTAAGTTGATCTATAGTTTCATTTACATTTTTTTTATCATAAAAAATTATTTTTAAAAAAATATATATTTCTTAAAAAATTACATTATGTTTTATATACATTATATATTATTTTTCTGTAAGTATTTTAATAAAAATATTAAAAATGTTCTCATTGAATAATCAATGTAAAATAATTAAATTATTAAATTTTAATTAATCATAAAGAATAAATATTTTATTGTTTTGAGATTAAAAGTTACGGTATATTAGTTTCAACAGGTGATGACGTTCCCACGGTTGCACATTGCGCATCCCTCGTTGTATTAAGAGAGATCCAAGAATTGTAAGTGAATGTTCTCGTATATATTGGGTGTTTGAAATGAATACTTGAAATTTAATCATATATATGATAAGAATAATTTTCTATTAATTTTAATAGATATAATATTTATAATAATATCTATAATATTCGATTTGTTAAAATAATATTATCATATTTAAGAAAAAATTACATCAATTTTTAATTTTACTTTATTTATTTTATCTTAGAATTATTCAAATTTTCTTTCTATTTATTAGAAATAAAAATAATATAAATTTATATATATATATATATATATATGCCTTGTGTATATTAAGTAATTAAATTAATTTTATTATTATATCATTGAGTAAAAAATAAAATTTAAAAAGAAGTAATAAATTTAAAAAAATAAATAAATATTATTGTATAATATATATTGAATATTGACTTGTATACTATATATCGTATCTATATATATTTATATGCATTTACATAAAATATTTATATTACGAATAATTACATTAAGTACTTTAGTTTTAGTTTTCATAATCACCCTATATAAGTTGTATATAAAGATGAGCTGGATACTGATGTTCTATTCTCTGAAGGACCGCCGTGAAAGTTTTGTTAGATGTTTCTCAAATTTTATTGAAGTTTTCTTTATAAGTGCATCACATACATAAATATTTGTAAATATTTTTGTGCATATATTAATTAAATATTTTATTAACTAAGAAATAGACATTTTTTTCTTTGAAAAAATATGTAATTTATTGGAAACAATTTTTAATAATAAATGGCAATTCAAAAAAGATTTTGAAATAGTGTATATTTTGGTGCAAATTTTAATCAATTGTGATTTCAATAGTTTTTAAAACATGCAGTCACAGTTTTCTAAAAGAATTATTGAAAAGGTTTGTAAGACGAAAAAATATAAAAAAGGAATTTAAATATTATTGAAAAATTCAATTAAATTATGTATTCAAAATAAAAAAAGAAAATATATTTCTAGAATTTTTTATGTTTCTTTATTATTTATATTATCTATGTTATAAAATAATATTATAACATTATAATTGAAATTAAATTTTCTAAATTCAACAAATTATCAAATTTTGTTAAAAATATAGAATATAATGAAAACTTATAAAATTTAATTATAAAGTATTAATATAATTTTTATGTAATATCAATTATTATATTCAATAATCAATTATAAATTATATTCAAACTAATATTTTTATTTTCGCAATCATTTCCAAAATATTAATTTTATAAATATATCCAACAATTTTTATTTCGTATTTTTCCCCGGTTGTTAGTTGAAAGTGCAATTGCTTAATCTAGCGGTTCACAATTAGCAAGAAACGTATACATATACAATATCGATTCCCACGTTCACTCGATTTCTTTCGAAGTATAATAATCTTTTCTTTCGAAGGAAAAAACATTTAGACCTTTCTTTAGATTTATCAAGTATCGAGCGTGTTAATCGTGGCGAAGGTTGGAGATTTAGATTCTCTTTTTTTATTTAAGCACAATGCTCGAGAACCGCTGAATAAAGTACTTACCTACGCACATATATTGGTTTCAGAGTTTACTTATATAGTGGCACTCCTTAAGAGTGCAGTAGCCATTGCAGGTTGTGCAACGACAAGTTGATTCACACATATGCACTTGTCTTTCAATTTTTATTATTTCCATTATAACTTTACGTATATTTCTAGGAATAATCGAGTTCAAGTATAAAAAAAGAGTTTATGATAAAGTTATCTTATGTCTTTTCAATTTAATACATTGTACGTATAAAACAGTATATGTCGTCAAAATATATCATTTTAAAATATAATTTGGTCATTATGATTTTTATTTACTAGAATAATTGGTAAAATAATTATCAAAAATTATTGTAATACAAATTATAACAGAATTGGAATACTTTTTTTTTCTTAATATTTTTAAGAATATCAATTAATAAATCTCTTGAGATTTTTACCTGATGAAAATAAATATATTTTTCTTTTTTGCAGATCGTGATTTTATGCTGTTTCTTAAAGCTAATAATTGCTGGTGTTCTTCAACAGTAAGATTATATAAATCATCAAAATTTTATTCTTCTTTCATTCAATTTGTACTTAAGAAAGAAGATTCTTAATTAAAAATCTACATTATCTCTAGTTTCTACGATTATCAAATCAAATATTTTTTCTTTAGAAGATTTCCTTGTGCGCCAATCGATGCAATCGCTGCCAATGGTGCTGCAGTACCTGTGACTTGTGCTCTTAAATCAATTGGAGGCAAGGTAGAGCCGGTATTTCCGACTTATGTGAAAGTTTCCTCTCCTATTTCGTACAGATTATTACCGAAGACGTCGTCGTTGGTGTATATTGCTCCACCAATTATTAAAACGGCCTCCGCTGTTGTCGCGACTGATACGAAAAACGAAAAAGAAGCAGAATACATGGTAACTTTGAAAAAAGAAACTTTTTAAAAAGTTTTACCCGCGTTCCATTAAAGATTTTACTTAAAATCTTATATAAATAATTAAATTAAATCTTATATAAATATTAAATATTCGCTCTCAAAATCAGATATTTTGATTTTACATACAATTGTCTATTAAGATCTCTATCATAGATTTCTCCATATTCTTCTATTTCTTATTCATTATCTTTTTAAATCTTATATTTTATCTTTTTAATTTTTCTTACATTGATTCATATCTAATGATAATAAATTTTTATTAAAATGTGAAAATAATAAAATTTAATAATTTTTCTGGAGGCCTATCCAAGATACTCGTTTAACTATGGTGTTCTTGATGGATACACCGGTGATTCAAAATCGGCATGGGAAGAAAGGGATGGTGACACGGTGAAGGGCGAATATTCCGTGGTCGAGGCGGATGGATCAATTCGGACAGTCACGTACACGGCTGACGATCATAACGGTTTCAACGCAGTTGTAACCAGGAACGAGCCTCCGAAAAATATGGTGAAACAAGATGGTAATTTGAAAGCATTTTTACCACTGACTATTATTCCCAATCCTCGTTAGAGATAAAAAATTTATATAACTATTCTATAAAGATTGTATTTTTAAAACAACGACTACAAATGTATAGAATTTTTCAATTTTATTGTGAAAAAAAAATACATCATACTATTATTTTTCATGTGTAGAATTTTGTTTTCTAAAAATATGTCAAATCTTTGTTTCTTTCTCAGAATTAATTTATTTAATTGAAATATTTTTTACGTCTTTTCCTTAACTATATGTTATTATATAATTCAATTAATTCTAAATTCTTTACTAACAATGTTTTATTTAAATACAATAGTTACAAAAAATATTTTTCAATTTTTTTTTAGTATTTTTTTCTTAATATTTTTACAAATGTAAATAATAACATTTTTACGAAGAATACACATAAACTTATATTAGAAAAGTATTAATAAAAAGAATTTAATTAGAAAAATAAACTAATCAATATGAAGTTTGAAATTAAGAATAATGTAATTACAAAAAGTAGTTTAGAATTGCCTAATTCTATTTCCTTACGTAATAATTAATGTTTTCTACAACTACAACCTCTGTACTGTCTCTCTATATACATTAAATATAAAATAAAACATCTCTTATGTAATAAAAATAATGGAATGCTAACTACTTTTAACATAAATCTTTTAAAAATCTAAACTATTGTACTATTTAAATTGAAATTAAAAATAGTTTTATCTCTTATAATAATAATAATAATAATAATAATAGAGCGAATAAACAGAACAATTATAAAATTTGACTAATCTCAACTAATGGTAACATATTTCATGTTTTTTACGCATAAGAAAAAAATTACAAAAAATAGAAAAGATTCCGATACTTTTATCTCTTAAATCTAATATATATATATATATATATATATATATATATATATATATATATATA